TTGGAAACATTATCTCTGGCAAAGTAAACTGCGGGTGAGATATTATACTCGTAATGTACATATAAAATATTTTAAAGCACAAATGTTATATATCCTGATAGTACTTGTACCACTGTAAACCACAACAGAGACACATATGTATATTACGTCCATACAAATACGACTCTAGAAAATTTATTAAAACACGAACAGTACAACAAAATTTATTAAAATCAATTTACATCTGTGCTGTGCAACTATATACTGAAGTATCACTTTTAAATTCATATTAGAAGGTATTTTCTACTAACAGAAATATATTTATAAATTGGTAGTAACTTTGTAAGTTGTAACCCTCAGACTAGTTTAATATGTACATCATACTTAAAGTAATTCAATTCTGTGTTTTAAACTCTTCAAATTTAGGCATTGTGTACGTTGTCAGGTTTTAAGGTCACATCAAGTATATAATTATTAACTACTCATGCATGAGGGCGCGGGTTCGATCCTGGCAAGTACCAATGTGATTTCTCCAAGTCATATGTACCTACTTTCTAAGAGTATTTAGACATCACTGATTAATTAATTCCCAAAGAGGGTTGATGTCAGGCAGGCGGCCGGTCGTAAAAACAATTGGCCAAAATTATTCACAATATGTAAGGCAGACCCTGGCTATAGCCGGGAATTTGCCAGGTAGAAGATAGAAGATCAAGTATATAATTATTAAAAATGTAACACAATGTAGTCAGAATGTTAATAAGAAATAACACATTTTCTAAAAGGGATGATAAGTTAATAAAGTTGTAATTTGTGAGAAAGTGGCCATCAATGTGCTTGTTTACAGATAATAGCTACTACTTTTGATACATGGCATTTGTTGTAAATCATTGGCCTGACAATTGATTATATTTCATATAATAAAACCATGTTTTTCGGATATACTATGGGATTTAATATAACATTGTATACTTTAAAATAACAATATACGTTGTATATATGGGCGCGGTTATGGATACCGAATTATATTTATAAAATTGTATATTGTTATTTGTTTAACTTTAAATGAGTTTGTAACACTTTGTGCTACCCTCTTCTAAAATTATTAAATACAGTCTTTAAAAGGGCGAACATTGTCAGTGAGCATTCATTCTATTAGTTGCACCAAGTGAGATAACATTGTAAGCTGAAACTCTCGAAGTTTGAATATAAATCTGTTACTGTGAAGTCTGTGGTATTATTTCTAAAGCAATCTATAAAGAAAATGGATCCCGATGACAATCCGAAGCACGCTACTCCGACAGCAGCGGTGGGATCCCATTCGCCAATTTTGGGAGGCTCACGGAACCGGAGTCAAAACGACCAGACTTTAACAATACAAGAGGTTATGAGTCTAGTTTCTACAATGGGCAAGCAAGCAGCTTCGGGCTCCGTGACTACTGCTTTAGGAGCCGGCTTATCTTCAGGAACGTTAAGAGGCAATTTCTATCTACCACCCTTCGACCCGGACGTCCGCTCACACGACATTCAAGACTGGTACGCGGGCGTGGATGAGGTGATTACTGCCTGCGGTATGTCGCAGCGGGAGGCAAGAGTGGGAGCTGTGCTGCACCTGGAAGGAAGGGCTGAGACCTGGGCTGACGCGTGGTCACTGCAGTCGGCGTCATGGCAGCAAGTCAAGGAGGACCTCATTCGAGCCTTTGGGAAGGAGGTCCGCTACGCTGGCGACGTCCAGAGGTGGCGCGGTTACACGTCTGAGCGGGCGGACGGTTGCTCCGATCGCGCAACGACGGGCTGGACGCTGTTCGGGCGCGTCAGGCCGGAAGTGAGTGATTGAGAAATTATGGACGCTTTGTTAACAGGTATTTATCGTGAATAAATTAGAAGTGAATTATTAAGGACTATATCCAGTTCTTTACCTGTCTTAGTGTCTGTTTAAAAAAATATATATATAAACTTATAGAATGAGTAAATATTATAATATCAAAAGTAGCAATAGTAACCAATGTAAAAGAACATGGCCGACAGTTAGCTAGTAAATAGTATGGTAATTGTTATAATTGTAATGAACCCGGTCATTTTTGCTCGCGATTGTGAAAATGAAAGAACTGTTACATCCGGAGGTCCATTGGCTTTAAATACTGTAAATAATACTAGTAATATAATAAAATATTCTGAATGTAGTTACTGTCTTGAGCGAGGTTATGTTGAAGAAAAAAAAATAAATATTGCTTGTTTAAACAAAGTGAGTGTTCGAAGTGAAATAATCTAAGTATTGGTTTGTGTATTTCAAGGGATCGTAGTATGACTCATATAAAGATAGGTGGTCGGACTTATTGCGCCTTGGTCGATACTGCTCTTTAATTAGAAATAAACTCGCGGGATCTATTCGAAACAAGTGAGAAATCGTTAGTGTGTCATTTATAGGTATAGGCGGGTATCCAGTAATCTCAACGCAAAGTATTACAACTACAGTAGAACGACGTTTGCACTGAAATATAATTTTATGTAGTCGGCGATACTCAATCTCAGCTTGACGTTTTAACATTTAAGTTTCGACGATATTAAAACCCCAGGTCTAAGCGTTACTTTTTGTAAAGAGGGTATATCGATAAAACGTAGTTTTATTATAAATGAAAGTGTCACCATTACTAATTCTGATGACTTTAATATAAATACTGATATTCAAGATCCAATATTATTATCGAAATTAAAAAGAACTCTTGATACCTTTAAACACAGTTTTAGAGTCTGTAATTAAAACGGGCGAATTAAGCATCAAACTGAAAAATCCAGATAAAATAGTTCAACGTAGACCGTATCGAATGTCATCATTAAAACGTGAAACTGTTAAAAATATTATAAATTACCTAAAAGCTAATAATAATAGGTATTATTCGAGATAGTTCTACCCCGTTTAGTAACCCGATCCTTTTAGTTAAGAAGAAAAACGGGTCTGACCATCGCGTCTGTAAGGGATAATTATTCACTACCATTAATCGCGAACCAAATTGATAAATTAGGTAAGGAGCGATTCTTTACGTGTTCAGGTTAGGCGGCCGGTTTTCACGGAATTGTAATCAGAGAATACTTTATTAAGAAAATCGCATTTGTTATCCCAGATGGACAATTTGAGTATTAACGTATGACTTTTGGTTTGTGTAATGCACCCGCGGTATACCAGCGTGACATATCATATAAACCTTTAGGTGACTATAAAGATAAAATAACCCTCGCTTAGGTTGATAACGTCACGATTACGTCACGGGGTATTGAAGAGGTTATACTTAAATTTAAACTTAGTATTACACAGATTGTCCGATGCGGGTTTTTCAATAGATATTTCCAAATTTTCTTTCCTTAAAACTAGCGTAAGCGTTTTTTGTATCAGATAAAAACGGTGATTTTCTACCACTTAATTTATCTATAAATATTTCAATTATTGATCATAATTGGCTTCTCATAGAACAAAAGCGTGACCCTTTCTTAAAACAATATTGTTGTCAAATTAAAATCGGATTCAATTCCCCAAACATTAGCGGATACATATGTTATTTTAAAAGATAAATTGTTAAGGCGTAAAAATTCAAATAGACAATAAAACATTGAAACTGATTATTATAGTACCCCGTTATCATCGTTGGAGTCTTATTTCCCATTATCATGATTCTTTACAACATTTTGCCTGGTAAAAGTTTTAGCTAAAATCAGAGAACAATATTGGTTCCCCGATATATCAAAGTTGGTTAGGAAATTCGTAGAAAATTGCGTTAGTTGTCGTGTTAGAAAAGGAATATCAGGCGCTAAGCAAATAAGATTACATCCGATCGATAAAATCAGCATCCCTTTTCATACAATACACGTCGACGTTACAGGTCGTATGAACGGTAAACGTAATCAGGCTGAGTATGCGTTTGTGTTTAATGACAGTTTCACTAAATATGCCAATCTCGTATATACAAATGACCGCACGACAGAAACCGCGATAAAAAGTTTACGTAACGATACCCTAGTCGTCCCATATCCGACCAAGACAACAGCATGACCTCCGCGTATTTTAAACTATTTTGTAATGAGAACGCTATAGAACATCATAGCGCCAGGGGCGCCAGTAGGGCTGATGGACAGTTAGAACTAATTGTGAAGGTCATTAAAGATTATAATTTGTCAGTAATTGAACTTAATAAGCCGTGGCTTAGTGCAATACAAGAGCTACAATTGGCAATAAATTCCACAATATCAAAAGTACCGGTAAAAGCCCCTTAGAAATATTAATTAGTAAAAAGTGCTCGCCACCGCTTATTAAACTATTACAAGTTGATGATGATAATGAACCTATAGAAAATTTAAATTATGTAAAGCTTCTTTATAAAAAAAAAAGGATGGCCGAGCGATCTCATCAGGACAAACTAAGGTTCGATAAGGGTTAAAGCAAAAAATAATCCATTTAAAGTCGGGGATTTTGTTCTCATGAGTCGTCATGAAAGAAACACTACAAAACTTGGTTCTAAATTTGAACGTGCTATGGAGATTCTAGAAATGTTACTTAACGATCGTTATAAATTGAAACACGTCAACCTTAAAGGATGTAGTGAAAAGATCGCTAGCTATGACTTTTTTAAATGATGATTAGATTATAAAGACGATGAGCATATGTTTTAATTATAAGTGATAAGCTACTTTGTATGTGACATATTTTCTTGTTTTAGTATTTGGAAAGAACAATTATTGAAAGGTTACCTGTACTATACTTGTTTGCGAAATTATGTGAAGAGTATCCTTGTTTACCTTGTATGGACGATGAGCATATGTTTTAATTATAAGTGATAAGCTACTTTGTATGTGACATATTTTCTTGTTTTAGTATTAATTGGAAAGAACAATTAATTGAAAGATTACTTGTACTATACTTGTTTGTTCAAAACGAAATTATGTGAAGAGTATACTTGTTTACCTTGTATAAGGGCAAGACCCCATGATGAGTGAGCCGTATGGGCAAGACCCCATGATGGGTGAGCCGTGAGTTATGTATTGGCAAGACCCCGTAATGGGTGAGCCGTGAGTTGTGTGTTGGCAAGACCCCGTAATGGGTGAGCCGTGAGTTGTGTGTTGGCAAGACCCCGTAATGGGTGAGCCGTGACTGGGCAAGAACCCGTAATGGGTGAGCCGTGACTGGGCAAGAACCCGTAATGGGTGAGCCGTGACTGGGCAAGAACCCGTAATGGGTGAGCCGTGACTGGGCAAGAACCCGTAATGGGTGAGCCGTGACTGGGCAAGAACCCGTAATGGGTGAGCCGTGACTGGGCAAGAACCCGTAATGGGTGAGCCGTGAGTTGGCAAGACCCCCGTAGTGGATGAGCCAGGACTGGGCAAGAACCCGTAATGGGTGAGCCGTGACTGGGCAAGAACCCGTAATGGGTGAGCCGTGACTGGGCAAGAACCCGTAATGGGTGAGCCGTGAATTGGCAAGACCCCCGTAGTGGATGAGCCAGGACTGGGCAAGAACCCGTAATGGGTGAGCCGTGACTGGGCAAGAACCCGTAATGGGTGAGCCGTGTGTTGGCAAGAACCCGTAATGGGTGAGCCGTGTGTTGGCAAGAACCCGTAATGGGTGAGCCGTGTGTTGGCAAGAACCCGTAATGGGTGAGCCGTGTGTTGGCAAGAACCCGTAATGGGTGAGCCGTGTGTTGGCAAGACCCCCGTAGTGGGTGAGCCATTTAATTAGTTTGTTCACAGGTACCGTAGGAACAGCGCGGGGAGCGCGCTGGATCAGAATGGCCGTATGGGCGCGGTTATGGATACCGAATTATATTTATAAAATTGTATATTGTTATTTGTTTAACTTTAAATGAGTTTGTAACACTTTGTGCTACCCTCTTCTAAAATTATTAAATACAGTCTTTAAAAGGGCGAACATTGTCAGTGAGCATTCATTCTATTAGTTGCACCAAGTGAGATAACATTGTAAGCTGAAACTCTCGAAGTTTGAATATAAATCTGTTACTGTGAAGTCTGTGGTATTATTTCTAAAGCAATCTATAAAGAAAATGGATCCCGATGACAATCCGAAGCACGCTACTCCGACATATACTTCGTTGCAATAGTTTTACATCACGGGATATAAGTGTCTCTCAGTTAGTCTAGTTATTTGTCATCTACTTTTTATTCTCCATTTATTGAAGCCTGGTTAGGGACTCACAGACATGTATTTTTGTTGAGGGAATAGATGTTAGATAGATTATTGTCCGTCATCTTTTCTATTAAAATTGGGAGTTTTTTAATTTCAATGGATCCCACTTGGTTTAACTTTGATTATATCTTTTTATCTATGGTTTACCAAAACGAATGGTTTATTTTATATGGTTAAAAAAAAAACTTTTCTTCAATATATTAACTACTATATTAGTAACTTCTTTCATATATTGCACGTTTGTCGCTTAACTATGGACTTCAAATGTTTCTTGCCATAATGGTGAGGCAGAAGTAAGTTATTCATATTAAGGGCATGTTTTACAAACTGATGCTAGACCTCAAGACGTTCAGCATCGCAAAGGTGGTGAGCGCTCTGACAGATATGTTAACGGTAGCTTAGTATGTAAGGTTTTGATGAGATTTCTTAATGAGATATCTAACTAGATGTGTGGGTTTCCTTTAACCCTGATCAGTTCGCAGTCAAAACTCGTAAAAATTATGAACAGATTTCCATAGGTATCACACAAAAGGGGAATAATATCCTTAAGTATTGACGAAGAATACTTAAAAAGAAAAGAAATTAAATAATTAGTATGGAACAGCTTGAAATCTAAAGTCTAACACATTATCAGAAGAGCCTGATTGTGGTCAAGTTGCTTCAGTTCGAACATGGGCTGGCTCCACCGGGGAAGTACCATCCTCTCACAGCCGGCGTGAAGTATTTTGTAATAGCTGTTTTTCGTCTTATGAGTCAGAGCGCTTGTTGCAATGTGTAAAATTCGAATGAAAATTACATAAATAATTTTTCTTATTAGTTACATTAAATTATTATTAGCCTTAAAAGAAATTTTCACTTCAAGTCTCCAATATCATTAAACACTCTCCACTCAAGTATTACAAATATTGACCTACCGAGATTAGGTGCGACATAAGTCAGAGGAAATGATAGGAAATTCAAAATTAGATAAATATCTAAAGATATAATATTTTATTTAAGGAATACTTTTCGGTTTTTTGTATTAGACAAAACCCATTACAAGAATTTTCTTTGTTAATATTCTATAATTAATATATAATGTTGCAGTAAAAGGTTGGCTTTGTACATACTCGTACATATATGTACACATTACACATCCATATAGAAGACTACAGAAGCGATTGGTAAGCCATTCCGTCTTCATTCACTTGCACGTAGAAAGCATTCTGCCACATTTTCTTGTACTCTTGATTAAATTGGACGAGAAGTTTACAAATGTATATTTTTATTAGTAAATAATTAATTATGGTTGGCTTAAACTAACATTGTATATATCGGATTTATTACAAATTCGTTGTTTTAAAAGAGAGACGCGTCAGTCTCATTGACGTAACTAATGTCACTTCTTCTAGAACGTTCAATGATATTTTAAAATGAAACTTCAATTGTTCTAATGCTCCTGTATTTCTCGAAGGTTCTTCATAATAACATATTTCAATGATACGCACTCACTGAACACTGAGCTCTCAATTCTGAATTCTGCCGTCGTGAGTCCAGACGTCATATTTATACCAAGATTTAAACATAGTTCTATTCTCCTTTTAAACAACCTTTGATTTCGTTTTACTTTTAACAATAATCATAAATACTAATGGGGTTTAATAAGAATTGATGACAGCCTCAAATTATTTTAATGTCGCATCCGTTATTAAAGCTGGTAGCTCTCATATATATCTTTCCAATGATTCATACAAAGAAGAATAATAAAAAGACTTCAAAAAATGTTTTTATACATTGAGTCAAAATGTATGAGTATTGATTTCGATTTTTAAATAATTCATAAAAATTCTTAGGTATCTTAACAATAAGGTCTTCCTGTTCTCAATAGTAAGGATTTTATTATAACTCTAGATAAACCTATACGTGTTATTATAACAATATATTTTATGAATCGTTGTGACTTTTTCTATAATATCAACAGTTTAAATAATAAAAATACTTCTAATAGATCTGGCTAATGGTAAGGTTTAAAAGAAGTTTATTACTACGAGGAGGAAAATTTATAATAGTCTTGAAAGTTGCCGTTCTTTCATGTAAAGTTCCCTTTTCACAAATGCGTCTTATTCAATGTTTTATCTGAGTCTTAAACGAAACTTTAAGTAAAAAGACTCATGTCTATTTATTTACCAAATTAAATTATTCGTAAAATAAGGAAAACCAATACAATTGCAAATATTCACTCATGCCGTTAGACTATATATAGTACATAATATGTCAGGAAATATATCATTAAAAGTTTTAAATAAATGTTAATATAAATTGCATCCATTCTAAGTTCTAACAACCTTCACTTCATTTCCATTCTAACAACATTCTAACTCTCAACAAATATTACGGTTTTTCAGTAGAGCCTGTAAAAAAATTGGTATATGATATATGTAAAGTAATTAGCAGTTATTTTAATTAAATGAATTTCATATTTGAAGGTTTTCAATTTGTTATTTTAAAGTAAAATTAAAGTTTTATGTCATAGTATTGATTGTTTTTTTTTTTTACTCAAGACTCTATATTATGTGATTTTTGGTATTTATCACAAGTAAATGTTCTATTGATATGTAAATATAAAAATTTAGGAGAAAAAATATTAATAACCGAAATCGGACAATGCGTAATCGTATTGTTAAACTATTGTGACTATTTCTGATATGGAAAGTAAAATATGTGTAAAAGATTAAGATTTAGTTTGCATTAAAATAACGCTGAATATTCATACATGTTCGCGGTAAACTGTCAGTTTGTTGAACAGAAATGTTGTGAATATCTTGACAACTTGTTTAAGTGCAGCAACGAAATTAAATTAAATGAGACATGCATCGTACAAAATTTGAATGTTTTTACATCAATATTGCTAGTTATGTAGAACAAATATAAACAAAATTGTATTTATATTCTTATTAAAAATTTAACTTTGCAATCAACTTTACTTGTTACAAATCAATCACTTTTTAAAGAAAGCGCTTATTGTATTCAAAAGATATTGGATTCTTTCTCATTTATATTATTATTATACATACTTTATGAATTAACTATTTCATATCAAATGATGTTTTAATTTTGTCTGAAAATACATTATTTTGTTATTTTATATGTCTTGTAAATTAATATGATACCAGTGTCTTTATACTTATAGTTTATTACAATAATGAAGAATTCGTATGCACTAGAAAATCCCAATATTATCCAAACATTAAGTTTATATACGGACCGAGTGTAAGTAATAAATTTAAAATTATACATATTTAGTAATGATTCGGCTTTGAGATATTATATTCATTTATATACAACAAATATACATAGCAGTATTTTAATAAATTAATAGTTGATGTTATAACGTAATACTAAGAGTATAATATGTTTACAGAAATAATTAACAAAAATACAATGTTTTAACTTTATTTTGTTCCCAAGGATAATATAAAAACTAATTATTATATTCTCCATGAATCGATTTTAACATCAAAAAAACTGTTTATTAGTTAGTTGTTAAGGCAACATAATAAAATATAATAGATTGTACTTAGCTTTAGGTGTCAGGTGCACCGTTGAATTCCTTTTTAAACAAATTATGAAAGAAGCGACCGGTGATCAGTTCTCAAGCTATTTTTTCCTTTGTAAAATATTTTTTGTAATTTCGTAAATAAAAAATGTAGTTATGTTTTACAAACGACCAACTGTTTACAAGTATTATAACACAAGGAATATAATTATATAACAACTGGGGACAGAGTTTTTGCTCCATAAATTTATGACAAGAGGTCGGGTCACTGAGTATAAGGGAATAGTCATTAAAACGTTCTCTTTTAAATTAATTATAGTTGAGATGTATGATGACTGCTCTTGTTATAAATGGCTTGTTTTATTTATTATTATTCCAGTTATAAGGGGCTATATACAAAATAAACTTTTGTTATTTTTATAAACTATCCTCTTTTTAACTAATTAATTCCATGACCACTAAACAGTTAATGTCGAGATATTATTTGATTATAACGGTTTATAAGTACATTCTTAAATTGAATTCTTAATTTTTTTGATGATGAATATTTAATTCAAAGTTTCTTAATTAAAATGATCAAATTATTTTGTTAATATTAAAAAAAAAACATGTAATTGCGTCTTAATAGTTCATTTCTTAATCTTATTTCATCACGCACATACAGATTTTTACGTGTTTTTTATGTACATGTACACTCTGCCACGATAAATTTAATCGGCCAATAATTCAAAATTGTATGGAGTAAAAAAATATGTAATAGCATAATAGGCTAAAATTGATTGATACAAGACAATAATTAATAAATTGTTAGTTCATGTTTATTAGTCCTATTTTTATGATTTTAGTGTTTTTTTTTTACATTTATTCCGAATTCATACATTGATGAATCTTCAGGGCTTAACATGTTATATGAGTATGTCAACGTCAGTATGTACATATGTATCAGTCAGTATGGCAGTGTGCGTTATATTCATCCTAAATTATTTAATGAT